TCGCGTTCGTCGATCAGCATCGTCGCAAGGCGTCTTGCGAGCGTGGAAGAGTAGGCCAAACTTTAATATGTAGGTGATGTCCAGTGCTCCATATAGTGGAGGCCCGTACGATAGCGGTGCTATGAAAGAATACATTGCAGGGCTGCACCTTTATCAAGACGGCAACTGCATCGAGCGAATTTAGATGCGCGTGTGCTGCCGTCTGGAATGCTCTTCCTTACGATGTTCGGAAGCCACTGGAGCTACTACTGTACGCACTTTTACATCATCTCGACTGAAACCTCATGTATTTAGAAGTTATTCTTATTGTTTAATTTGTTGTCCTCCTCCCGTACCTCCGATTAACGCGGCTGGCTACGTACGATGCGAAAGAAGTTCAACATACATACATGTACACGGATTTTATTTTTTTGATGACTTCATTTTGCAAGACAACCCATCTTTTTTTTTTTAATATCGAGAGTCAGCAGCGATAATTATAATCACTCCGACTTCGGCGACCCTTCGCAGCCATGTCCACACGGTCCACTAGATGGCGATGCGGGGCCGTAGAACAGCGCCCCTGGTAAAACCTGAGCTCGTGGAACCGATGACACACGGAACCTGCTTTGACCACCACACCTTCACCACCGGCGCATGCCATCTGCTTTAGTCACGCTCGCTGATTTCACAGATTGAGGGCCGCGCACTGGACAACGCGTGCATCTCGACGCGCGAGGGAAAGAATGCATTGATAGAATCTCTCGTCGAAAGGCGAGCTGCGATGTCTTCTTCGCATTGCGCCATCACCCTCGGTACGGTTTTCCCTGCAATTGTGAGCCATCTGTTGGGGAAGTTCACCTGGGATGGGATCGATTAATGTAGTTTGATTGACTGGGCAAACCAATAAAAAAACACCGCGACTATAAGCACGCCGATCGTGTTGTTAGTTGCCATCGTCCTCGGTTCAGCCTGCCGCGCGATTGATAATTTGCAATGATAACGTACAAGCGCCGTTGTCAATACACTGCCACGTGAACGTCTCCGCCACGCCGAGCCGCTTGTGATGCTCAGCGTGGACTCGGCGGAGGACCTCGTGGGGAGAGGCCCGCTACTCACATCGCACGTGTGCTCATTCTGGTCGTGGACGGGAATCGAACTTAGGCGTGCATGTCCAGCATCGCATTGAGTTGCGATAATCGTCTGCGCCACCGTCCGTCCCTCTTCCCATCTGCATTGTGCACGTGGGGAAATTACAACAAGTGACCCCTTTGAAAATATGCGAAATCTCAATATGCCCTTATCTGGGTAAATCAATTCACCGTTCAAAGTTCATATGCCCATGTATACCTCGATATGGTTATTTAGTTTCAGTCGTACAGTAGTTTTGACCTTAGTCGCCCTTTTAAACAATTTACAGTTTTAACTTGTACCCATTTGGTCACGATGTCATTCTAGGAACGTTTGAAACCATGTTAAGCTGCTCTCAGCGAGGTCACCAGCTTCAACCGAATCTGTGTCTGGGCTACGGGTTTACCGGCTGCCGTCATGAAAGAGTGGAATTTCAATCCATGACTCAGGACGGCACACAACTCGTGCGGATATAGGTGAATTAAATATCTGTGTTAATGCATCCGATAGATCTCTGGCGTGTTTTGAGGTTGTACCGCGCGCTGTTCGGGATGGTGTCCGACGTTTCACTCCACGTGCTGGGAGCTTCTTCGGGAAATGATATAAAATTTCTGAAAGAAAAAAAAACCGCTTTCAGCAGGTGCATCGAGACGTCGGTTGTGACCTAAATATTCAGTTCCTGAACAATTTCCCAGCAACGTGAGCGAAACGTCAGACATCATACCAAACAACACGCGGCACAACTCGAAAAAAAAACTCACCGAGGAGTTCGAGACTCCGCACACAGCACAGGGGTGAATTCGCTGAAACGAACAAAACGTGTCAATATTTTAAGAGGTGGTGTACACGAGACGGTGGCCCCTTAATACGTAAGAGCGTCGGGTCTTGCCGACCTTCACCCCCCCGCCTGTGCCCACAGCAGAAACTAGAGCTACTCAATCAGTGCCAATTTAAGACTGTAGCAGAGGTCGCAAACGGGTTTTGATTCCTTACCCGTACCCGGCCGCACCAGGGTCGCAAACGGGTACCCGTACCCGGCCGTACCCGTACCCTACCCGTACCCGGCCGGGTATCGGGTAGGGTACGGGTATCGGGTACCCGGTTGCGACCTCTGGACTCTAGTCAGCTGGAGGCGCTTCGACACAGCGCTGAGACTTGCCACGGTGGCGGGGTGTGGGACCGGGCCACGCTGCCTGCAGTGACGCAAAAGCCCCCGCTGGGCGTCGCTGGAGACTGCGGAATACGCGCGTTGGTCCCTGCGTCTCACGGCGCTCACTTGCTCAACCCCCCCTCCCCCACCACGACAGCTCACGAGGACTCGCGTCTGACACGCGGTTTCTGGCTCTCTAACGAACGCGAATCGTGGATTCCTTCCGAAATCATCGGCGCAACTCCAAAGATGCCGTTACGCTCATGGGTGTAGGTCCTTTGGAAGAAATAAAAAAAGAGTATTTTTAATAAACGTCGGCAGCGTTTGATGCCTTCGTGTGCGGTGTTGTCACTCATCACGGCAAGGTGGCAATGCTTTGGATATGCGCTCACGCTCTTCCCATGCATCTTGGTTAGCAATTCATCTTGAAGCTGTGAGATTCCCATTTTACAACGCTCGATTAAAATGCTAAGGACACCGCCCTGCGATTAGCTAAGCACCCTAAAAAAGTCACCGTCGTCGCGCCGATCAAACCACTCCTCCCCAAACACCCGTTGCCTCTTCCATTGCGGTATCCCTCCTGAAATAAAACTATCTCGAGATTTGTAGACGCATTGCCGGGTAGCTGATATACATATATAACAGGGAATTGGCACGTGTATGACACTTAATGAACCCACACGTATTTTATTTCATCGTTTTGGTTTTACAATACATAAGTGAGTGTCTCTTCGTCTTTCGTGTGTGAGCGAGCGAGGGGGTTTGGCAGCGTAGCGGTGAGCACGCTGTGCCACGAACCGGGCGCCACGAGTTCGATTCCCGCTCATCTGAACAGGCCCGGGGGGGCCTCCAAATGAGTACCTGGTGCGGCGTGTAAAAACACCGCCACTGGGGGAGACAAAGGCGGTCGGAGTGGTTTTGGCCACCTCCCCATCCCCTTGTGTGCCGTGCCGACCCTTCATAGCTGCACTCAAACAGCACTTGCCCCAACAGTCTGTCCAGGCTATGAGGGCGATCTTTGTCTTTGTGTGAGTGAGTGAGAGAGATTTAAAAAGGGGGGGTCGGTGGTGGTGGGGGGGGTATGGCTTTGGTTAGCGGGCCACATTCTCTGCATCTTGGATACTGAAAGGGAAGGCTGAGTTAGGCGGGTGATGGCTTGGCAGGGGGGGGGGGGGTAACTGAAAGAAAGATTCCCGGCCGAAGGTTTTACGCATAAACACCGGCCACCACCACCCCCGCTGACAGCTCTCTGCGGCGTGCAAGTCCCCGTGATAAGCCCGGATCCCGTTGAGCCCCCCCCCCCCCTTGGGTGTGCGAGTCCACAAATCGTGCACTCACGGCAATGTGTAGACACTGCTTTGCGACAGGTCACATGCGGAACAAAGACAAAGATCCCCCGTGCAGCCTCTAACGGACTGTTAGCGAGCATATGTGAAGGGCGGAAACGGCACACGGCCGGGCGTGGGTGGCCAGCACCACGCCCGGCCGCATTTGTCTCCCAAGCGGCGGTGTTTACAGACCGCACACACACACGCAAACCCCATACACACAATTTATTTCAAACCAATTGACAATTAGGATCACCATGAATCATCATCATCAGTCTGATGGATGAACGTCTCCCTAACCCCGTTGCCATCCCTCACGATCCTGTGATGTCATAACCCGCCTCGCACCAGCACACGAGTTGATTTCATCGCTCCATCTCCTCCAGTGGACGATACCTTCCATGCATTTGGCTTCAATTCGAGGCAACGCTTCTATTTGACAAGAGAGCCAGGATAACATGGCACGTTCACGACACAATCAGTATTTGACCGTGTGCGTGCGTTTGTCAACATGTATGACGGGCAAATGGCAGGGTAAAAATCACACGTGTTTAGTAAGTTGGTTGCAATATGATCCACATTTTTTTTATTACAATGTTTCATGGTGTAAATGCGTGGCATTTCCCTACAGATGTTTTCTTTTCCCGCAGCGTAATACATGTAATGTAAACACAGCAACAATAAATAAAGTTTCAACATTGTCGGCAACTTGTGCAATTCACACCAACCAGGCACTGTTGGTGTACCTGCCCTGCCTTCAAAATAAACGCCTTTTTTGCTAAACTTTCAACCGTTTAGCAATAAATGTAGGGCAGAATAAAACTAATATTCACACACACACACAAACCTCAGTGTTTCCACGGGTAAATTAAATGCTGGCGTGTGGCCAATTAGCGCGTCATCGGCTAAATAATGAGCGTTTGTGGCTGAAATCGCGTGTAGGACTTTGAATGTGTACGTGCCTTGTGTCCCCAGTCTAACTAGCTTGACTTGTCCCCATCGTGTTGCGGCAAATCACGTTAGATTCGACTAGTTCGACATACTTCCTCTACAATGGTATGGCATGCGGGCAGCACGATGGTACGGTGCGTTTGGCCGTACGGTGGCTTTGTGAACATTGTAATCTATTGCGCATGATTGTGCTTGGGAAATGATGGTGTGGACTGTACGGCAAAGCAGCTACACCCCCCCCCCCCATTCAACCCAACCACCCAGAATCACCTCCACTCAGTGTGCCCTTCCCCCAATACCACCACAACCACAAAACAGCGCCACAGCTAACAGGAACGCCACCACCACCACCCACTCACCAACCCACCCACCGACCTACCCCCTATTGGACGTTTTTACAGCGGTATAGCCAGTAGCATCCAACCCCCATCTCTCAAACAACACCCACCAACCTCATCAACCATCCTCCCCCTCCCCCGCTCACACTCCCACCGCCAAACCTCTGCTCCCTCCCTGGTAGGCGGAGTAGACATCTCCGAAGCAGTGTCTCGCCTCCGTCGAGAGCACACAACTGAAAGGCTGGTCGTCTGTGCGGAGAGCGCAAGAGAGAGAGAGAGCGCTTGGAGGCTGGAGGAGTTAGGAGGGGAGGGGAGAGTTGTGAAGTGGGCAGGCATGGTCCGCGATTGAAGCGCTTCCACCACTACCACCACTACGAACTGCGTGGCTATTGCTGCTTCTGCTGCTGCAGCTGCTGCTGCATCACCGGAGACAGACACTGACGGCGCGACGGGATTACTCTCGTTAGGGGGACCGAATTACATGCGCGGCAAGCCGGGCGACTGAACTGGACACGGGCAGAGCTATGGACTACCTTTTGCTGTTCCATTTTCTCCTCGCCGTCGTCGCACTCGAAGGTAAGGGGCGAGGGCGTCCATCCCAAACTCTTGCTGCTGCTATTCGTGGCTCGGTGGCGCGGTGGTCACCACTCGCTGCTGTCGGTGGGGTCACTAAATATGAGCGTGCGTGTCGTAGGTTAGTTGAGCACTGGCAGATCAGCGATGCTTTCAAAGGCATGCTCTGACTGTTGGGAGCAGCGGCACGCGTGCGTGCGTTTCATGTATTTGTATGCGTGTAACACACGTTGTGTATCTCGGTAGGGCATGCTTTGACATGTGTGTGCCACCAACGTGTGTGTGTAATGCCATAGTGGCAATCTCATATGCTGCTGGATGTCGACTGGCCAATGCTGTGAGTGGGTGCATGTTGGAGCAACTTTGTGATGCAACCGATCACATGTGCTCCAATTGATGCGATAATGCTTGTGCGCTCATGCGTACACACAATATTGTGTGTATGTATGCCAACGAAATCCATAGCATGGGTACAGCCGTAGTAGATAATGTTATACACAACCGTACGTGCACGGCTGTTATCACGTACGGTCTCGTGGTGTACGATGGCTTTTTTATCATCCGAAACGCTTTTCTTGAAGCAGAGAGAAAGAGAGAGAGAAAAAATCACTCAAGCTAGCAGTGCTTAGAACGCAATGACGCTCAGATTCTGACAGCGAGTGGTTACTCTCACACGCACGCACCGAGAAACGAGCAGTAATCACTCTGCCCATCATCCATCGCTTAAAGTTGGATCCGATATACAAAAGAAAACGCGGCAGGCAAATCGTAGAAAAATTATAAACTTTTTAAATTGTATTTATTTGACACATCGGATTCGTCATTTGTAAACCACAGACGCGCAATGATGAATTAAAGCTTGTCCGGTACGAGAAGACGCCCTTGTCCGGCTCCGCTGGAAGCTGTTATTCATTCAGTGGGGCAGACGTTGGAATTGGATGCCGTTCCTTGCCAGCGTCCACACGGTGTACAAAGACACCGACAAAGATCACACCCAACCTCGCTGACAGGTTCTGTTGTGGCAAACTGTTGTTAGCGAGCACCTAACGCCAACTACTAAATGACAAAGACACAGATCCCCCGCATATCTTTAAACAGACTGTTGGGGCAAGTGCTGTTAGCGAGCACCTATGAAGGCCAGCACCACGCCCGACCGCCTTTGTCTCCCCAGTAGCGATGTTTTTCTACACACCGCACCAGGTACTCATTTGAGGCTGAGTCGACCGAGGGGAGGGTCCAGTTCTGGTTCAGATAATCGTCACTGGTTGCTGGCCGTGAGCGGGTATCGAACCGGTGTTGCCTGGGTTCATAGCGCATCGCGCTAACCGCTACACACACACACACGCGCGCGCGTCGTGATGCCGAGAGATAACGAGTCTGCCGTGCGCGTGTTCCATCTAGGCTGCACAAACAGTTGTGCTTTAAGAATCACTTTAATACACACAGTCGCACGCGCGGACAAAAAAAATGATGTTGAAGCGCACGAAATGAGCCTTTGAAACTGGGACAAAGCGATAACCCATGGGGAAAGGGGGGTGGGAAGAGTCTCGCGCGCTCTCTATGACGGAAGGATGCGAAATGAATGTGTATCCAGTGTAAGTGGCTGCTTGATTAAGGCCGATCTTGCAGGGATGATGGATGTAAGGGGGGCGACGCACCAACATCCAATGCGCCTTGATTTATTGCGAAGAGGGACACTCTAAGATGCCGCCTGCATCCCCCCCCCCCAATCCGTAGACTTTCTAAGGCTGTAAGGTGAATTGGAATTTTGCGATCCAGGCTTGTGGCAGCGAGCGCTTGCTTTGGGATGTCACACGTCTCGGCAAAAAACAAATAACTAAATAACACATCCGTGTGTGTGTGTGTGCCTGTATACCACGGGGGATAATGAACGGGTTGGCTATTGCAGGGGGTAAATGGAGTGTTGGTGGTGATGGCTAAAGTGGACTATCCCAGTTTCTTGCTCGCACGCACACTTAAAAAAAAACCCACGCCTTTACGTGTAATGTCGTGTCTTTAGCACGAATGTGTCCCGCTCAGAACGTAATTAATACGTATTTCTGTTTAAGCGTACTTCGTTGAAGGCCATGAAACCCGCCTGACGCAAAGCGGATATGTTGAATTTCATGCCTTCGTACGTTTCGCAAACGAACGGAGAGTTGGATGGATTTTTTTTTGGAAACAAGGCGTTATTGCGAGTTCTTAAAGGGTCCGGCGTGTGTGGGTTTCGGCGGGGTCACCGGAATAGGGAACCGCGTAGTGTGCTTTTTTATGTATTGTGCGGATTTCTGTGAAAACCCAATTCATTAACACGGTTCATAAATAGTACACCGTTTTTTTTGTATCTACCGACCGTCAAAACATTGTTTATTTGATGAAATATTGTGCGTGCCAGTGTTGTTTTGTCCCTACTATTTGGCTGTCCTGAGTTTATTGCGTTTTCTTTTACTCATACAAAAAAAACCGTATCACAGTTTGTCTATTCATAACAGGCAGTCATAAAAGTTTTGTAAATATACCAGATAGTTGAAGCAATTTAATGGTAGATTGCATATAGACCAGGAACATGGGAAATTATTTTGATGTTGGGGTCTAAGCCGCCATGGGGACATTGAAGATCGAGAGCCTATGGCTTAGTTATTATATTTTACTGATCTTTACAACACTGCAAACAATCATGTCAAAAACACATAATTTGAGACGGACTTAAGCTAAGCGTATTATATTCTATTTATATAAAGTACCGATACATTTATGTAGCCAATTAATGATAGCGAACCACATGTGTATGCTATGAAATTGCATGTCAAAACTGGCTTTAATCGTGTTTCAATGATCCGAGACTTTACCTTTGATATCCATTTTTGCTTGATTTTTTGTATTACATAAACTCTGTGATAGGGCAGATTTGTCCTCATCAATGGAACGGGCAGTATTATAATAGAAGAGACACAGTGCCATGTTACAGACCTCCTTATGTTGGTCATTCCCTTTGACATTACCCAGTTAATGAGCAAGTGGGCAAAGATAATGAAACTGAGCTTAGAAAAAAAAATGAGATTGCATTTTCCACCAAAATGGAATCCATTTTATGTGGCCGTTTCGCCGTAGTATTGAGTGATTAATTACACGGTTAGGAAATATGGATGCACTTTCTGCATGTTTATAGGTGCGTTATTCAGAATTCAATTTGAATTATTAAAAATATTGGTTGAGTTTCCAAATATCCGTGACGGTGTTACCAAAAATGGTGTCCTTGGGCTCTGGCTAGGCATTGTATGTGAATTTCATTTCTGAAAATCCTGTAACTGAGAATATAGTCTGCGTAATCGCATGGTTACATGCTTGCGTGCACATATGCATTGTCACATACGAACCTTTTTCGCATTGCCATGCAGCGCGCTGGACAGTATACAATCCTATGAAATGTAGAACTTCAGACCGAATCTTTAAACAATTGCACTCGCTTATTAAGCTTAACAATACTCAGGTAAATTTGACTAACTTAAACCATACGTTAAAATATACCCGTATTTTAATATCTTCCATGTTGTACCCGCAATATACTGCATTACTATTTATATGCTGACATTTCAAATAATTTTCTGCAACTTGGCATTTAAACATTGTTAAGGGGAAAGAAAAAATGTGCCACTACATGTGTGTATTGTTTAAACTGTACAGTACCACGAATAAGTATTGTTTAATTAGCCAGAAAATCACATTGAGTCCCGAGACAATTTTTGAGGAGGGTCCTGCCCTGCCCTGCCATGTTTGGCCAACGTCAATTATAATGGCCGTATTTCAGGAATACTCCGTGTGTTATGTGTCTGTCCGAACGCTGTCTGTCTGTTTCTGTGCATGTTAATACAAGTCTAATCCGTGTTTGTAGATGCATGACCTTAAATTCAAAGCAGTTCCCCTCGCTTCGGACTTTAGACGGGAGTTTCAGAATGCCCGCTCTGACAAACCGCCCATTGCCTCCGTAGCAGCAGCAGCATTGAATTTACCTTCAAAGTTTCTGAATGGAGAGTAAACAAGCACTTTAAAAGCACATGGGACCCGATTTGCTTGTGCACCTGAGCACATTGAGGTGGGCCCGTCCACAATCCGCGAAACACACACGGAGAGAAAAGTAAATGTTGGCTTTAAAGCCTGGAATTGTTTACTGATGTGTTGCGTTGGAGGCGAAAACAGCAAGCCAGCAGGAGCGGTTTGCTGACCGCTTAATTCCGGCACATTACATTACACAGAATAAGCCGTGGAGTTTGCTGCGCTTCAATTACTCGGGGGCCCATTTCATTTTCTCCACGCCTAATTTCAGAAGGAAAAAAATCGAATGCCTGCTGCGATGGATTGCTGTAAAGTGAAGCAAAAAAAAAACCTGAAGGTGAAACGGCGGCAATACTGTAAGCGTGACAACTTTGTGGGATTACAAACGGGGAGCAATAAATACGGGGTGTAAATTCCCACGCGAGTTAATTAAGGTGTTGTAAATGCGCGTCTCAATTTTTTTCCCCTTCTGAACGCGTCCTGCGGTGGGAGTGAATTCTTTTTTGGGCCCTGCCAATTTCTTTATTGATTTGTTTGACTGTGACGAACCACAGTACAAACAGTTTTAGCTGAGAGGGCCCACCAGCGGTTCAATTGTGTGAATGCGTGGAGTGTGAAGAGAGGGGGGGGGGGAAAGGCAATGCAAAGTGCAGGCTGTGGTAGTGATTTGAGGACATTTAGTGAGTGGGTTTGAGTGCCGAGTTGTGTGCACACACGCGACGCGCGCGCCGGGCAGCATTGCAAAGGGGATACGCGACCTGGAACCAAAAAAATAGCCCGATATTTTCTGATATTGCCCCAAACTTCTATCCTAGTTATCCCTGTCATTTGATGTTTTACCACTTTTAAGGAAAGAAAAACAATCTAACTCCCATTTTTTTAATCAAAGTCGTTTAATTTGTATATTATCCTTGCAGTACAGTCTTGTGCATCTTACATCTTTAAAAACA